GAATACAAGAGTGTTAATTAGAAGAGAAAACTAGAAGGCTTTGTGAAAAATTGCTCCCATATACAAATAAACACAATGACATGAATGTGCTAAAGACCAAAAAGTATAATTATGACATACTGCTTCTGAGATAAAGACATATATTCCTTCTGATTTAAAAATGCATGATGTAGAACAACCACAACACTGGAAGAAAACAAGTATCTCGTCTGTCTCCAATTCTGGGTACTGTGATTTTAACGATTAATTGAAGGTAAGAAGCAACACTGCCTTAGACAACAGACAAAGTATCTTTAATTCAGGAAGGAGATGGGAACTCTCAGGGTTTCTAACAGATATTATCTATCATCTTAGAATCATCATTTCATTTACTAAAATGATTTGTAGCATTTATAAAACATTTTGCTTACATTTGTAACTTTATTAATGTCTCTTGGAGAATTATGCCATAGGAATGGTATTTAAATTCTGATCTTTAAGAAAAATAGAAATGTTTATGTTTGTTTTTGGATTAGATATAACTGATAATATAACTTAGATAAAAACTTTTTGTGAAACAGTTGTCTGGAAACCCAAAGTTATGCAAGTCACAATAAATAACAATAATTCAGTGTTTTCCACAATCTATTTTTAACTTGAGCAGATTATTTTTAACAAACAAAAAATTTTGAAGTATCGATTGTTAGAAATATGCCATCCTTTGATTTTAGTTTCTTTGGCTTGCTATTAAAGGGAAATAAAGCATTTTTAATTTAGAAAAACTTAAATGGTCATTTGTGGGTAAGTGAAAGTGAAAGTTGCTCAGTCATCTCTGACTCTTTGCAGTCCCATGGGCTATAATCCATGGAATTCTCCAGGCCATAATACTGGAGTGGGTAGTCTTTTCCTTTCTCCAGGGGATCTTCCCAACCCAGGGATCAAACCCAGGTTTCCTGCATTGCAGGTGAATTCTTTACCAGCTGAGCCACAAGGAAAGCCCACCAAATACAAAAGCAGTGCTAAACTGGATATAGCTGGATCTCCCCAGCAGGCATGGAGGGGAGAAAAAGGGAAAGGCTGCTCAGTCCTCAAGGGAATTATACTCCTCTTCCAAGAAAATGTTCTCCTTACTTTGATAATTGTGAGGGTTCCCAGCAACCTGCCTGTTTTCTGCTCAGATGCTCCAGACGGACGCTTGTCAATACGCCTTAGCTCCTTTCACAATCTACAGCCCATTCTTTCACCGTAACAGTCCTGTTGAGTAAATACATACCCACACAAGTGCAGGAGGTTGGCAGGGGTTAGGGGAATCCTTGTGACAGTTTGCAATCACTCTGTTCCTTCATAAACATAAATGGATAGCCACGGATTACATACACATACAAGAAAGGAATCTTTGAAATTAAAAATATGAGTGTCAGAATATGATGAAGATGAAGCTAGCTTTCTAGAAGAAAAAGTGAGCATATCCATGATACAAAACAAAAAAGACAAAAGCTTAGAATACTTGAAAGGAAAACAACACTGAGTATAGCTCAAGAAGAGCTATACTGATATCCATCTGATAGTAATTTCCTAAATGAACAAAGAGAATGAAAATGAACCATTTGAAAAATAATGAAAGAAAATTATCCTGAGCTGAAGTGTCTAAATTTAGAAAAGAAAGCTAGAAGGCTTTGTAAAGAATATCTCCCATATACAAATAAACATAGTGATATGAATTTACTAAGGACCAAAAAGTATGATTATGACATACTATTTCTGAAATAAAGATATACATTCTTTCTGATTTAAAAATGAGTGGTGTGGAACCAAGTATCTCATCAAAAAGTCTGTTTCCAATCAAGGTTTTTAAACAATTGGCGGGAAGAAACAACACTGCCTTAGACGTCAAAGTATCTTTGTTCAGGTAATTTGTAAACAAGATGGGCACCCTTAGGGCTCCTAACAGGTATTACCATCATCTTAGAAGGTATATTTCATTTGTTAAAGTGGTTTGTAGTATTTATAAGTATTTTGCTTACAGCTGTACCCTTTATTAATGTCTTTTGGAGAATTATAACCATAGGGATGGTGTTTAAATTCTGGTTTTCACTTAAGAAAAATGGAGGTGTTTGTGTTTGTCTTTGGATTAGATATAATTGATGACTTTTTATGAGACAGTTGTCTGGAAACTCAGTTATGCAAGTCAAAATAAGTAACAAAAATTCAATGTCTTCCATGATTTGTTTTTAACTTGAAGATTTTTAAACAAACCAAATTTGGAAGAATCTGTTGTTAGAAATGTGGCATCCTTTGGTTTTAGTTTCTTTTGCTTCCTATTAAATTTAAGTAAAATAAAATTGTAACTTTTTATATTTTTTTGGCTGGGCTATGCTGCTTATAGGACTTTAGCTCCCCGACTAAGGATTAAGCCTAGCCCTTGACAGTGAGAGCACTGAGTCCTAACCGTTGGGTTGCCAAGGAATTCCCCAAATGTAACATTTTTTATTTAGAAAAAGTTAAATGATTATTTGTGGGTAATAGGATTTGGAGTTTCCTTTTTATTTCTATGTATTTTCCATATGTCAGCTCTTTTTGTCTCATCTGCCTTAATTATTTTTCTCACACATTGACTATTAAACAGTGGAGAGCAGTCACCTTAGATTTCAGAAAGAATATAAATGATTCTAATCTTACACATAGTAGTTTATGCCTTTGCAATCTTGCCCCCTACCTTAGGTAGCTCCTCAAAGCATTTATTCCAGACAAATACTATGCTGCCTAAAAGAATAAATTTAGAAAACATTACCTATCTCGTTATATGTCAATATCAATAAAAAATTATGTTTCTCTTTAGCTTCACATTCTCTTAACCAAGATACGAAGAGGCTAACCCTAACCCTGACCCTAATCCTTTTTTCCTCTGATTTATGATATGAATCCCACAACAGTTGAAGCTAGTGAAAATGTACTTAAAAATGTAATTGCCACATCAAATAGACTATCATAGGAATTTCAGGGTGGGGGCTTCCACGGTGGTTCAGCAGTAAAGAATCTGCCTGCCAATGCAAGAGACATGAGTTTGCTCCCTGGGTCGAGATGATTCCCTGGAAGAGGAAATGGCAGCCTACTCTGTATTCTTGCCTGGAGAATCCCATGGACAGAGGAGCCTGGCGGGCTAAAGTCCATCCACATGGTCACAAAGAGTCAGATACATCTGAGCAACAAACAGACCCAACATACCAGTTCAGAAAAACAACTTAGAAAAACCTGCATAATTAAATGATCCTGTTTGTGTTTCTTTTAAAAAAAAGAGAGAAGAGAGAAGAAACAGAACAGTGGAGAACAGTGATGTGTATACCATCCTTCACGTATTCACTAATTAGTGGGTAAAACTGGCTATACCTCTCATCCTCTCCTTATCTTCAAAATGATGATATTTGCCCTTGCCTGCCTTACTGTAATTCATTGAATATCATAACTCAAAACAATAACTGTTAAAAAACCTATCATCACTGAAAGGATAGAAGGAACTATTCTTTTTCACTTATCATGGTCTAGTACTAACTTTAACAGTCGTAAAATCATTTCTCGCTTGGGCAGGAGAATCCAATTACTGTAATTGTACCCTTGGTGCAGCAGGGTGCCAACAAAATTAAGAAACTTATAAATAGCCCCCAATTTAGCTTAGTCTATTTCACTGCCTCTTTAACTTTTACTTTTCCTGAAAATGCGTAAATAAATAGACAAACAAATGAAATGGAAGTCTGAATCTGACTGTGGTCTACTCTCAACATTCTATAAGGGCTCAGTCACTTCAATCAAACAACTCTTTGTGATCCCATGAACTATAGCCCACCACGCTCCTCTGTCCATGGGGATTCTCCAGGCAAGAACACTGGAGAGGGTTGCCATTTCCTTCTCCAGGGCATCTTCCCGACCCAGGGATCGAACCTTTGTCTCCTACGGCTCCTGACCTGCAGGCAGATTCTTTACTGCTGAGACACTGGGGAAGCCCATCAACATTCTATACACCTGGATAAAGTACATATAAAAGTGCAATAATTGGAGGATATCAGGCAGGAAAACACCTTCCCTAAACTATGGAGGGAAACAGTATTTGATATGCTACAATGTCTTTTGAGTCCTTATGAAACAAAATTATCTGGATTGTAACTAGGTCAGATCAAGTGCCCAAATGAATTTTACAAAAGACTTACCATTCATTAAGAACCAAAAGGAAATTAATTGCTTGGATACACTATACTTCAATAAAGAACAAGCATCACAGAAAAGAATCTCCTATATAAATTTGATCTTATGGGAGTATAATAGGGCTTACCTTCTGATATTGATGACTGTCAAATGAATTTTCAAGAGCCCTAGTGATACTTTGGCTAGAAATGAATCCCACAGTATTCAGTATAGATTCCCTCTGATCCCACGACTCAGTATTCTGGGGTCATGTGTATCGTGTAGGAATTCCCAGTCTCTGGAGCAGAAGCAGCTATAACCCAGTGGTTGCCTTCCTTAGCTCCCATGTACATTCCACATCTCATACAACCTTATTACAAATTTATCTGCTATTAACAATCAGAGTCTCAGAAACATTGTAACAACATCTAATCATAATAGATGCTCTTGTTGCTATCCAATTTAAGTGTATATTTATTTTTTAAAAAATAAAAATGAAGGCACATCTTTCTTGATCTACTTTCCTTCAGAAATTTCTCTTAAATTATTATTATTTTTTTAAAAGTACCTTTATTCAACCTCTTAGTTCAAATAGTTAATGACCTGACTCACTCTTCCTCCTGCATCAGCCACAGGGGCCTAAACCTGCTCTCACATGAGGACTCTTGCATTTGCTCGTCCTTAATCTGAGAAGGCTCTTCTCACACATCTTGTCATCTGCTCCTCCTACCTTCAGGTCCTCTCATTCAGGAGCCATACCTGACCACCCTGTAAACAATCTCCACCGCTCTCTCTTGTCCGTTTACCACGCTTTGTTATTCTCCACAGCACTTAGCACCATTTGATACAAATGAATTTGTTTATTATCGTTCATCTCCTCACAAGAATTTAAGTTCCCCAAGGACAGAGACTTTGGTACATTCACATCCTTATCTTTAGAGCCTCGCATGAGGTAAGCATCCAGGAAAGAATTGCTCTATCTAATGACTCTATAGAGCCAAAGAGTACCCACCCACCCACTCCCTCCTTTTTTTTTTTCCTTCACTTCAAACAGAGCAAATATTTTAGAAGTATATTGAAGTTAAAGGGGAAAAAAAAACAGCATTTTCTGCTTTTCAGAATTTCAAGCAAAAAATGACATTGTCATGGGGGTAGAAAAATGAAGAGAATCACAGATGAGATCATGCTGAGAAAAACTGATAATTTAAAGTTAGCAATACAGGCCTTATTCTTCCCTCTCAGGACATCTGAAGAAAGATGCTGGCAAGACTCTCCATGCCAGCCATGATAGCAGTGACACGCAAACCCACCCTTCATGTCCTTTATTGTCTTCAGTTTGTTGGCTGCGGAAATGATGACTCTCAGTCTCTTGCTTGGGCCATATTTCTTACTGATACTTCCCAGCATATGCAGATAGGAGGAGGATTCAGATGTTTTTCGAACACATCTTCCGTTATTGTTACATAGACTCTGACTGCAGAGTTTGGCTGCAGATGTCACATTAACAGCATAATGGCCCAATGGCCCTTGAATAAATTTTTTCACAGACAAGCAGGTCTCCTGTGGGAAAAACAGAAAGCTGTTTAGATCACTTTCAAAGCATGATTCAATTGTCCAGGTAGTATTCATTAATATTGACTTTTGTATTTGGTAACCTGAGGAGAAAGAGTTACAGTGGATTTAGCATTTAAATGAAAGACTAAGCCCTTATAAAATCCCGTAAGTGATGATCCATGCCTTTGGTTAGGAATACTCTAATGAACCAATTTCATACCATTTTCTGGGGAGGATGATTCCACCATTTTCCACAAGAGTATCCTTTAAGAGAGATTTGTACTGACACTTTAAAAAGAAAATCTTTAATGTGGGATGATTTTTTTAAATTTGTGAAACAGTTTTGATGTTGAAACTTCATATATGTTAACATCAGGTCAGATTTTTCTCAGACTACCAAGTTATCCCATTCTTCTCCTTATCTCTTCAGAGGTAACAGTTTTCCTGAAGTGGGGAGGGGTAGTACTTACATCCATGTTTTTATAGCTTTACTACATGTAAATGTAATTATGAACAATATGTATAACAGTATTATTTTATGTTTTTAATTCTTATACAAGTTTATATCATTTGGAATATTTTATTTTCTACAATTTGCTTTGCAAACATTTTTAAGATCCTTTCCCTACATTCGTACATGTAGCTCTTTAAAAAAAAAAATGTAGCTGTGGTTCAGTTTCATAGTAAAAATACGTCATACTTTATGTGTCCATCAGTCAGGTTGTAGGAGAGATTCTATAAAAGATTAGTATTTATTACCAAATTCCTGAGTCACTTGTATAGCATATGGAAAGTTAGATTGTCTTCCCATAAATCTGCCACTAGGCACCATTGTCACACCTTGGATTTTAAGGCTAGTACACAGTTCTACCTACTGATGATCGCACTGTGCAGCCAGGATGTACTTGCCGAATTGAAATGACACCATCAGCTAGCCCAGAAGAATCTGGCTAGAATCTTCATCAATGCTTGCCTTAATCCATAAAGGAAGTGCCATGGGAAAATCCTAGTAGATTCCTTAATAAAGTGTGTTTTCTATCAGCACTTCAATTATTTTGATCAATACTAACTCTATTGGAAGGGCTTCCCTGATGGTTCAGCCATAAAGAATTTGCCTGCAATGCAGGAGATGCAGGAAACTCAGATTTGATCCCTGGGTTGGAAAGATCCTTGGAAGAGGAAATGGCAACCCACTCCAGTATTTTTGCCTGGAAAATTCTATGGACAGAGGAGTCTGGCAGGCTACAGTCCAAAGGGTCACAAAGAGTTGGACATGACTGACCATGCATGCATACATAACGTGAATGCATAATTAAGCTCCAATTAATTTAAAACTGTAGGATAGTTTCTCTGTGAGAAGAGGCCCCAAAACTGTGAATCCATGTGGAAAGGATTCAGGGGTTCAAATGGAAAGTCATAAGGCAGAATAAACTACTAATGGCAGGCAGTAGAACAAGGTGTCATGTTGGGCAATAACAAGTTCTGAAAATCCGTGTGTAATGTTTTGGTTCCAGGCACATTCAGTCTAGGTCAGCCTCACATTATGTTTAGAAATAAATGCTATTTTTAGTCAAGGCATGGCTCCTTATCTGAGGCATCTGAGGAAGTTTGTAGGACAGATGGGAAAAATAGAACAGGGAAATCACTGAACAAAACAAGAAAGGGAAAAGTAAGAAAGGGGGGGAGGAGAGGAAGAAAGAAGACTTGGGGGAGAGACAAAGAGAGCATGGAGTACAGGTAAACCCAATCAGGTTCAACATGGGCTCCCCTGTTCTGTCCCAGCCCTCTTCCTTGAACTCCCTTCATTTATCTTCTGGTATATCACACTCTCCTGGATTTTTCCTTTCTCACTGAATGCTCCTTCTTAATCTCATTTACTAGCTCATCCTCCCTACTTCTTAACCCTGGAGTGCCCTAGGCTTAATTTTTCTCTTTTCCAGCTATATTCTCTCTGGATAAACTTACCCTTTCTCACTGCCTTAAATAGAACTCCCAGATGTATATTTCCCAGAATTTATCTCCGATCAACTGTACACCCACCTACCTATTTGACATCTCAACCTGGATGTCTCACGAACACTTCAACGATCTTAACCCATTCCAATGTGATCCCCTGATCCTCTTCCCAACCTTTCTCAACATATGTCAGCTCCCTCTCTCCGATGCCTCAGGAGCAAAACCTTGAAGGTGCAAGTTGTGTGGGGGTTGGAAGCATCTCTAACCTCATGCAAGAAAGAGCCAGACCCTACATGGCAGCCATGTGGGATGGTCTTCAAGAGACCACAATAATTTTAAAATCCACCATATAAATAAAAATTACTTTGCCCACTTTGCCTCCTCTCTATCCCTACACTCATCCTTGAAGCAAATGAGCAAAGAAATGAATGGTACTTCTCTTCCCCATAACTGAGACCAAAGCTTGGGGTGTGGGGAGGAGAAGCAAGAAGTTTTAACCTGGATAATGACAACCGCCACTTACATTGCACTTGGCATGTGCTAGGTACTGTTTAAGTGCTTTACATGTGTTAATAATGTAATTCTCATAACAGCCCTATGAGATAGATACTATTATTCTCACCATTTAACAGATAAAGAAATTGTAGAGACTTGTTCAAGGTCGTTGGCTAGTAGCAGACAAAAAGTGAACACTGGAATCTAAGTCGTTCAACCTTAGGCCTCCTCCTCAGGCCTCCTCATCTCACCAATACCAGCATGCTGATTTGTGGAATGCCAAATGAGAAAGAGCTGACTGTTTTTTTATTTTATAAGACTGAGTGCTTTAATACTTGAAAAGTGAACTATTTGTTAATACCCGTGCATGAGTGCGTGCTCAGTTACTTCAGTCGTGTCCAACTCTTTGCGACCCCGTGGACGGTAGCCCACCAGGCTCCTCTGTCTATGAGATTCTTCAGGCAAGAATACTGGAGTGGGATGTCCCCCACCCAGGTATCGAACCCACATCTCCTGCATCTCCTGCATTGCAGGCAGAGTCTTTACCCACTGAGCCACATGGGAACCCAATTCATTAATACCTAAAAATGAGGAAAACTGTGGTTTCTGAATTTTCACTTAGGTAGTAAAACAGGCCACCAACTAAACATGTTCAAAGTCAGTTGTGGAAAAATAATAGAGTTATTCCATGTGAGACTTGCTATCAAGAGTAGAATGTTAATAAACTTTTATATACACATATATTTTTTTTCCCTCCCATGAGCATTTCTATCGTAGATAATCAGAAAATAAAGAATCACTTTTAGAGAATCCATCCTTTGTGTGGTTGAAAATATTTATTTTTAAAGTTTGGTATTCTCTCTCTCTTTTTTTTTTTTTTTTTGCATACATATTATATCATTCTTGCTGTTGTTTAGTTGCTAAGTTGTGTTAGACTCTTTTGCAACTCCCATGGATGTAGCCCTACCAGGCTCCTCTGTCCATGGGATTTTTCTAGGAAAGAATAATGGGATGAGTTGCCATTTCCTTCTTCAAGAGGTCTTCCTGACCCAGGGATCGCATCCACATCTCCTGCATTGGCAGGTGGATTCTTTGCCACTGAGCCACCATCTACCAAAATTCTTACAAAGTAGGTTTTCTTTCAGTATTTCGTTTTTTAGGTGAAGAAATGGATACTCAGAGAGGTTAATTAACTTGCCCAAGATTACACCCCTAGAATGTAAAATTTGAATTCTTATTTAGGGTTGTCTGGTTGGAAAACCTGTGCTCTTTTTACAACACTGTCGCTGGTACAGACAAATTGCTCAATGTGGGTCCCTGTGCTCTCTGAGTTTTGTTAAAGTCAACTGAGCGGGTAATTAGCAACCGTTTGTCTCTGACATGAAAACTTAAAACAAAACCAATATCTGGAATACCTCCAAGATGTTGGTGGGGAAACCACTGCTTACCTTTGTAGCAGAATAGTCATATCCTCCCCACAATATTACTCCTGATGCCCCCAATGCTGCACTCTCACCAATTGTATGCACTAAGTCCTCCTAAAAAAGAGAAGGGTCACAAGTAGGTTCTGCCAACTATATTTAACCACTGACAATTCAATAATGTCTCAGTCCATCAACTGTAGTAAAGAACACATAGATAATGTTATCTTTGTTTCTAAACTATAGAGCAGGATTGGAAAAGGTAATTCTGCCTGGGATAAGAACCTGATAAATATGTATGATGTTCCAAGCAGTATTCTAGACACTAAGAATATAAAAATGAAGTAGATTCCATTTCTTGTTCTTGAGAGTGTGTTTTAGTGTGATGCTTATGACAGACATATATAATAGCAGGGTAACAAATTAAATTATATATTAGCACCCACAAGACGTACATAGATTAGAGAAAATAGTTAATGCTGCATGGAAATGTATGGGAAGATTTCCTTCAAGAAGTGGAATTTCAGAGTGGTCTTTGGAAAGGAGTATAAATTGATAAAATAGACTTGAGAGCAGAGTTTTTTATCCAGTAGGAAAAAAAGAAAAGGCAGAGTCATATGTAGGAAAAGGTGTGATTCCTTGAGAAGAGTCAGGAACTCTTATGGTAGGTAAAAAGCGCTGGGGATCTGGGGAGAAGTAAATGTATCTGAATCCTTCTACTAGGTTAGCCAAAAAGTTCTTTGGAGTTCAAGTGAAAATAAAAGATATATTTTTCATTTTCATGAAGAATTTTACTGAATGAAATATTCACTGTTTTGCTCCACTGCTTTCTGCTATTTTTCAGGCAACTTTTATAATTCCATCTTCCCAAAACATTTTATCATTTTGAGCAAACAACTCCTTTCCAGGGAATTGAATTTTTTTCCATTAAGAGAATTTTGTAAAGACTGAAATAAATGGACATCCAAAGGTGTAGTGTCTGATGAATATGGCAGATGAATCAGAACTTCTCAGCCAAGCTATAACAGTTTTGCCTGGTCATCAAAGAAAGATACGATCTCATGCTATCCTGATGGACGATAATGCATTTTACGTCAGCTAATTCCAGATGCTTTTTTGTTTGAGTGCTGCTTTCAGTGGTCTAATTGGAACAGTAGCTATTGGAATTGTTTGGTTTCCAGAAGGAGCTCATAATAGAAGCCACTCTTTCTAATCCCACCATATACACAACATCACCTTCTTTAGATGAAGATAGGCCTTTGGTGTGGTTAGTGGTAGTTCATTTCACTTGCCCCATGATCCTTCCATTCCACGTTATTGTACAATGCCCACTTCTCATTGCCCATCACAATTTGTTGTAAAAACAGAACATTTTCATTATGTTTAAGTAGAGAATCTCATGTGGGAATTTGGTCAAGGATTTTTTCTGCTTAACTTACGTGGCACCCAAATATCAAAACAATGAAAATAACCAAGTTAGTGCAAATGATTTTCAAGATTTGGATATTTTGAATATGTTGGCTATCTCCCACGTGGTATAATGTTGATTGCTCTCAATTAATGGTTTGATATGATCACTATCAACTTCAACTTGTTTACCTCACCTTGGAGCATTGTCCAATGAGAAATCTCCAGCATGAAAATCTGCAAACCACTTTTGACATATTTGATCAGTCACAGTACCTTCTCCATACACTGCACAAATCTTTTTATGCATTTCTATTGTTTTTACCTTTCTTGAAATAATAAGCATAATATGTAGAAGATGTTTTTTACTTCCATCTTCAGTATTAAAATGGCCGCACAAAAATTCACTCATTTGGATAACACATTTTCAACTTTTAATTTTTTAGATTTTTAATGAAGTATAAATGATTTACAAATACTGTGGTAGTTTCAGCTATCTGGCATAGTGATTTGATTTTTTTGTGTATTACAAAATGATCAACATAATAAGCTTAGTTACCATCTGTCACCATACATAGTTACTACAGTATTTTTGACTGTATTCCCTATGCTGTACATTGTATCTCTAGGTCTTATTTATTTTATAATTTCCAACCCTCTACCTCCTTCCATGGGACATGATCAGTTTGTTATCTGTATCTATAAGTCTGTTTATGTTTTTGGTTTGTTTGCACTCTGATATGACAGCTGTCACAATGCAATCTAACAAAATTGTTTTGAATGAAGTTAAAGACAACTAAATGCTGCCAGAAGTATCATATAGAAAAACCCAAATGAACTTTCTGGCCAACCCAATAGATAAGTAACATCCAAATACAAGTGTCTTTTGTGTGTATTTTATTACACAATTTTAAAGTGTTAGGGCTTAGCTACAAGAAAGTTTTGACACTGGAAGGCCACACATTTGCAACTAAGATATTTTCAGCTGTCATAAAAACATATTGGAGGAGGAAGTCAAGATGACAGTCAGGGACCCCAATTAGGACATGATGAAAACTGTCAGTGAGAAATGATGAGAGCTTCAACAAAGGCAAGGTCAGTCCTTATAAAGCAGAGAGGACAGATTGAATAGTTCTTTGGAAATTAAGATGGATAAGATTTAGTTACCTACTGGATAATGGAAAGAGAAGGGAGGCATCCAAGTGACTCTCAAGTGGGATGACTAAGTAAATTATAATTCACCAGGATGAGAAACAGAGGCAGTCATGTTCATGGTTACAGACCAAGAGCAAAGAAGCAGGAAATAGGAAGAGATGAAAGAGAGAAGGAATGATAGATGGACAGTCTGCATTGTTTCCTTCCCGGCAAGGTGTGGAGAATCAGAGATCCAGTATAAAGGTAAACTATGCAAAAGCCAGAATGAGAAAATGGCCATGTTTCAGCAAAGCCCCTCTGCATTATATGAAGTCTCCAATAACCTAGCACTGTGTTTCACAATTTGTCTACGTAATGAAACAAGAAAAAAAAGTCATTCTTCCATTATACTAAATAGCATTGCCTTCATTAAATGAAAATCAAGTCTCTAATTCAAATTGAGACACTGGAAAGAAAATATCCAGCAGAGTTAGCTTTAAGTGACTTCATAATTACAATATGAAGAACATAATAAATGATGTTGTGCTTAGTTGCTCAGTCATGTCCAGCTCTTTGTGACCCATTGGACTGTAGCCTACCAGGCTCCTCTGTCCATGGGATTTTTCAGGCATGAATACTGGAGTGGGTTGCCATTTCCTTCTCCAGGGAATAAAAGATGTTATAACATAATAATGCTATTTAAACAATAAATGAGATTCATGCTGTTTGTTCTTGTGAAAAGGGAAAGATTCATGTGAAAAGGGAAAGGCAATAGCATAGTATTAAAACACTTCAGTATACTATTACTCACGTAACGCTATAATTTTGATTTTCTGAAATAGAGCTCAGAGGTGATACTTAGCCCATAATTGACTTTGAAAATCAAATATTACCCCAAAATGGGGACGTTACAAACAAGAGTTTCCTTAAAATATGGTTTATCTCATTCTATCCTTTTCTATCAAGGCAAAATATCTGACTGCATGTATTATTATTTTCTACTCATTATTCATAATATATTGTGACATATTGTAGACACTCAGTAAGTATTTTTTTGAAGGAATAACTATAACCTAGTCTTTTCCCCAGTGGATTTGAGAAAGTGACATGATTTGAGAAATCTGTTACTTGAGGAATAATTTATTGAGAAGATTTTGGTAGGTCTGACTGACATCATCCAATACTTGGAGAACTGACTTTTGAAATAGAGACTTGATTTATTCTATATTGCACCAGAAGTTAGGATTAGAACTAGTAGTGATGCGAAGTTATCCAGAGGCAGAGTAGACTCAACATAGTCAAGAACTCTTCAGGGAATAATTGGGTTCCCAAGTGGCAGATTTCCTTCTAGAATAGGAAGAACCCCATCAAAAAGAAAGTGCTAACGCAGGTAAGAAGAGATCCGTGTTTGAGGGTGAGGCAGATTAGGTATCTTACATCCTCCAACTTTTTATCATGGTGCTATATTTCTTTTCCTCCTAAACACTGAATGAACTTTCCATTTTGAATAATACTGAGTAATCCTACAAGGATAGCAATGTAAAGCCTACTAAACAGTATTTGGGTCAATGAATTTTATTCTGAAATGTTTGAGGAAGAACTGATATTTCACTTAAATGTCCTTATCACAAATGTAAGTGGTTTCAGTACTGCTTCTGTGTTGTGTACTAGAAAAACTGAATTGTGAGCTCACAGCTATTGATGGAGATTTAAGGGCTTTCTCACCTGACCACCCACCCAATGATTGAATCCCTACAAGAATATCCTATATAAGTGACAATCTATATAAAGCTTGAACACTTCCAAGTGTCTACAAACTCATTATCTTCCAAATCAGTTCATTCCTACATCGTTGTGCTTCCTACCCTGTTAAGTCTAAGAATACTTTTATATAAACCACTTTCATTGTCTTGACACTTATCACTAGATCACATTTTAGATTTTTAAAGATAAAATCAACAATCTATATTATTTTTTAAGTAACCTAATCAATTAATACATAAAAATGCAATATATTGAAAATATAGTTGGTAAATAATTTGCCCAAGTTCTCTTTTGTACAGTTTTGATTTGGAAAGTTGCTGCTACTGTTTCATGTTAGGAGCTTCTTTAATATGAATTTTCTCCCTAGTTAAATTTAATCTGTTGGATGATTAAACTTAAATTTAACTACATCTTTGCAGGAAGCCCTTGTAAATCCTAAGCTGGTAAGAATCATCACTTACAAACTCTTAAGCAAACATCTAATTGTCAATGACATTATTTCAGAATTGGCTTGACATTTGAAGGACTACATAGTTTTAGTAATAGAATAGCATTCTATTATTAAGGGGATATAAGCATCCTAAAACATTATTGTCTAAATTTCATATTCTACTAAATTTCCATTTTTTAATGTGTGACTGTATTTTTTTCTTACCTGTGACAAAGCTTCAATACCATGCAAATAAAATGGTCTGGAAAAAATAAAAACTGGTAAAACATAGTCATCTTTAGCCATTTCAGCAATTCTCATAGCTTCTCTAACTCGATAATGAACAAATTTCAAAGCATTTAAATTTGACTTCAATATCTTATCCAAATACACTGAAGTATAAAGTGCTCTGCTTTTTTTCCATAGCCACTGGAGTTGGTCGTTGCGGAAAATTTCGTCACTCGGGCATTTACCTGTGTAGGTCTGCGGATTTATCCTATAATCATAATTGTAGCAGTCTGGATAGAGATAAAAGCCCCATAAACATTTTGGTCTCATTTCTAAAGCCAGTGTGAGAGTAGCATTCATAATACTCTTTCCAGCAGTTTCAAATTCCTTTTGGGCAACTGTTCTCACTTTCATTTCTGACCAATCAGGATGGTGGTTTCTAGTAAAGTCTAAAGAGTGGTTTTTATATATTACCCTATTACCCCAATTTCTGTCCCATTGTGGCTTCCAGCTTTCCCAGTCAATGATAACAAGACCTTCTGATCTCCACCAAGGAAAAACTTTTGCAATGTCACCAGCGGCCTTCCTCAGGTGTGTAGGAAGGCTCATGTTCTGTGGTATCCCTCCATTAAAGGATTTTCCCTCTGGAGAGAAATAAGGATAATACCCTAATTCATTTGGATAAATTATGGCAATTGTCGATCCACTCTGAGTCTCCAAAGGATTTGATATAATATTAAATAACTGAAGATTCAGATCCACACTGAAGAAATGCTGACACTGCATTGTTGGGGCAGCCCAGAAAATGTTGAAAGGTCTTTTCGTGATCACTGGAGGCATTGCTGGCTTCGGGGCTGAATGAGTGGACACGATCAACAGCAGCAGCACTCCTAACCATGCCACCCAGGGGTTAAACATGGCTCATAGTTTTCACCATCATGTTAAGCAATCTCCTTAAAAATAAGAAGAGGAAGAAAAATTAAACATGATGGAGTCAAATGTTCCTTGAATCAGGTCAACTCATGGTAGCGTTTAAGCTACTCTTTGAGTTGTAGACTGACTTTTTAAAAGATTTAGGAGATTTATTGATAACTAGGCCTAATTTATACTTTTAACAGGGAAGAAAAATGAGGTGATTTTTTTTAAAAAACTAAAAAATTAAAAAAAAAAAAGTCCAGTGAATAGAAACCAAAGTAAAAATTTTCACACAACTCCTCAGTCATGAAAACTCTGTCTGCAAGTTGTTCTAGCTTTAATTTCCTATAATTTTGACTACATAACCATTTGGTACTTTTAACAAAAATTAAATGGAACAAAAAGAAATATCTAGTGATACAAACAGTAAATAATCCCTTGCTTACTATTTCAAATTCACTGGACTCAAAAGTGGGCTTGTTCATTTTTTGGTTTCTTTGTTTTTAAAAGATGGCAGTTATATTTGGAATTAGTACAGCTAAAATAGAAACAGGAAGAAATGGCATTTACCTGCTATTGATTATGGATTTTGTTGCTATCTTCTCTTGGTACATAAATTTAGAAACCATCTGATTGTTTAATTCCCTGGTTTCCCATGAAGAAGTTGGACTGCATTTTCACCAATCAATTCCCAAATGAAACTTGGCTAAATCCCTTCTAAACAGACAGTTGAGCCAAAAACTGCCAAAGAATCTTCCCAGACAAGGATGGTCTAGTAGTTATGCATTCCAGCCAATGAGATCTCACCATGAAAGCAGTATGGTTGAAGTTATGTATCAAAATGATTTTATCATGAATTTTTTTTAAATAAATGAATCACAAACTTGTCTATGATGTAATTAAATTCAGTGTCTTTTTAAGAGTTAAACCTCCTTTTTTTTTTTGTAGTTTTTGCTGAATTTATCTAATATATTAAATGCAGGAAGAGGTACTGACCAAAGTCATATTTTAACTCTTGCAACACAGCATCCCAAGTTTATAAAGAAACTTGAGTAAGTCATTGCTTCTCTGTACATTGAAGATTTATTCATAGCTATGAATGACAATTTACTCTTTTAAATAAAGTTATTATTTTTATTATTTTTATTTTAAAATTATTTTTAAGTTATTATCTATAAAATTAATTTCATGAGGAATTTGTATCATGGCATCAGAAGAGTCCCTCAGTGACCAGAGATACTCTATTCTCTTCACCCTTCTCCAGCCATGGGTCTTAAGGTGACTCCTCCCCTCAAAGAAAGAAAAGCCAATTTATTTCTTATCTTTGTCATCCAGGGAAAATGAAAGAGGACCCTCTATCCATAAATATTACTCTTTATCTCCCTCTTCTCATGACAGCATGTATGACATATATATTTAGTTAAATGTCATATTACATTAAATTTCTTAAAGACAAAGGGCTATAAATCTAAAATATTGTGCTTTAGTAAAATCCAGTTATAAATTTTCTTTTCTAAAGTATTTTAATCATGCTATTTATATAAAAGTTATACCCCCTTTGTCACTAGTCTGTGGAAACCTTATTAGTTTAGCATTATCTTCTTCACCAGTATACATTTTGTGACAAACTACTTAACAGTAACAAAATTGAGCATTATGAATTGTTCAGTTCAGTTCAGTTCAGTTCAACTGCTCAGTCATGTCCGACTCTTTGCGACCCCATGAACTGCAGCACGCAAGGCCTCCCTGTCCATCACCAACTCCCGGAGTTTACCCAAACTCATGTCCATTGAGTCGGTGATGCCATCCAACCATCTCATCCTCTGTCGTTGTCTTCTCCTTCCACCCTCAATCTTTCCCAGCATCAGGATATTTTCAAATGAGTCAGCTCTTCACATCAGGTGGCCAAAGTATTTGAGTTTCAGCTTCAACATCAGTCCTTCCAATGAACACCCAGGACTGATCTCCTTTACGATGGACTGTTTGGATCTCCTTGCAGTCCAAATAACTCTCAAGAGTCTTCTCCAACACCACAGTTCAAAAGCAT